CATAGCTGCATTATTTATAACAGCCAAAAAGTAGAAAAAACCCAAATGTCCATCAACTGACGAATGGGTAAATAAAGTGTAGTGTATCAAAACAAAAGAGTAGTATATAGCCATAAAAATAAATTTGATAGTGAGACATGCTACAACATGGATGAATCTTACAAACATTATGCTAAATTTAAAAAGGCAGATACAAAAGACCACATATTGTATGATTTCATTTATATGAAGTGTCCAGAATAGGCAAATCCATAGAAACAAAAAGTAGGTCAGTAGTTGGCAGGGGCTGGAGTGCAGAAGAAGTGATAAACGACTACTAATGGGTACAGAGATTTTTGGGGCGGTGGTGAAAATGTCCTGGATTTAGATAGCGATGATGGTTGCATAACTTTGTGAAGATACTAAAATCCACTAAATTGTACACTTTAAAAGAGTGAATTCAATGGTATGTGAATTATATATCAATTTTTTTAAGTCTAAGGCACAGTTCTTACTCTCAAATAGCTGAGAATTTCCAGTGTTCAAATATTCCTGTTCAACACCATCTAATTAGCAACACTATATGTTTTTATTTTTTGAAGTGGCCACAAATCACATTATTTTTTATGAATTAATCAACTCATGACTTCCCACAATAAAAATATAAATCAGTCTAGAAAATATATTGCATTAATTTTTCAAATTTTAATTAGTAAGAGTGTAGCATATTACAATAAAATTTTTTTCTTAACAACAAGAAAAATAATAGTCATATCAGTGGACCTCGCTATACCTTCATTTGATGGTGTTTGAAGTGACTTTAAGGCTCAAGCATAACAAGAAAGACTCTCATGTTTTTATTTGTTCACTCATTCCTCAAAACTCTATCGGTTATTATCATCTTCTGGGCCCTGGAAAGAGACTGTGAGTTCCCTCAAGGAGTTTCCTCAAGGAGTTCAGTGTCTAAGAGGAAAACCTGTGAACAAATCCCTGTAGGACTGACAATACTGCACTAGGGGGCTATCACAGAGTTATGTCTAGGTCCAGCTGTGGCCCATCCCATGGGGCAGTGTTTTTACACACAGGTATATGTAAGGGGCCCAGAATTAGCTCAGCATTTGATTGCATTTCCTCTCCCATCTCCAGCATTTTCTCCAAGTTTATGTTATTGGTAAACACTGGTACCTGACAGCACAATCTTGACCTCTACAATGTATTACAAATTTTAACTAATTGACAACATACAAAAATCAGGAGATTTCAGATAGAAACCAAAATGTCTAGCTTCTTTTAAAAATCTGGCAGTGCTGGCCCCGTGTTCTGGCATAGAGCTCTCAGGTGGGTTGGAACAGTGCCTGGTCTTACTCATCAGGTGGGGAAGGTCAGCAAGGACGGCCATGATGGGCTAGGATTGATGAGCTGGGTGAGGAGCTCAAGGACTTCTCTCTAGTTTGTATTTCTAAATGGTCATAATAAAAAGTTAAAAGCAAACAAAAAAATGGGGCTGTGCTTTCTCCAGTTGGCCACAGATCCCACCCTGCTCTGTTGTCATCGAGGCAGAATGTTAGTTACTATTCACTGGGCTTGAGCTACTCTTTTTCTTAGTAGTATTAAAAGTGAACAGAACTGTTTCTCACACCTCACCTGTTTGCCTCATCTTCCTCATCAGTGCAAAGCCCCTCTGGCATTTGAGTACAGTCTCTAAAAGTCAAGCAGGGGGCACAGCCTGGTGGCCACTAGCCAAACTTGGCCCAAAGATGTGTTTGGCCCAATGAAGTTTTCCTAAAGAGGAGTTCAATGCTGTAGATGGGCATCACTAGCCACGTCTCTGCAGTTCTCACCTCCTACTATATTATTATTATTATCTGGACTAATAAACGTTTATGTTCCTTACCTTGCCCTGTAGGCATCTGAATTTTAGGATCTAAGACAAGAGGGACAATGGTTGTATTCAGTATTTATGCAGGCATGCAGATCGGCTCTGCTGATGTTCCAATCTTGAAATCTTGTCTGCCCATAGATCCCTTCCTATTATGAATGTGACCATACCTTCCATTTAGTGGTATTTTCTGAAAGTCTTCTACTTGGGGAATTTAAAAGAGCTCTTTATCTTTCTTATTTTTGTATTAAATGACTAATTCTGTGTTATGGTTAATATCATCATTAACATCATCGCCATCTCTGACTATGTCTAATTGTTATTAAATGTCCAACAAAAGTAACTCATTCTGTGACCAAATACAGTTTACATTCAAAGAAATGCAGACAGTAAATGATCACATTAAAGAATTCACAAGAGAAAATTAAAAATGCAACCCAGGGCCGGCCGAGTGGAGCGATGGTTAAGAACTGGCTTGGGACGCCAGAGGGCCGCGGTTCGGATCCCACATATGATGGCCAGTGACACTGCCCTCCACAGCTAAGATGCTGAACAACAGCTCAACCTGGAGCTGGGCTGCCGTGAGTCGCCAGCGATGGCGTAGGCTGCAGCCCTTGCTGCAGTGGGTTGCCATGGGCTACCGTATGTAGCCAGCAGCCAGCGTGAGCGGCCAGCAGCCGGCGTGAGCGGCCAGCAGCCGAGTGGCCGTCCAGAAGCCGGTGACTGATGTGCCTCGCCTGGGAAGAGCGCAATGATAATACCAACTTGGGCCAGTGAAGCAACGTCCTCCACAACTAGACTGAAGAACAAAATGACAGCAACTTGTCTGTTCCCCTTCCCCTAATTCCCCAGCACTGTTCCCATCCCCCAATTGCCCAATTTAAAAAAAAAATGCAACCCAAAGTGGGTTCAAGGAATTATTATATCTCTATTTTGATTATAAAAATTAAAGGGGTAACATTCTGTGATTATGAGGAAATAGGTGCACTTACATATTGCTTAGTAAATGCAAATTGGTTGGATAAGTAACTTGCAAATGTTACAAGAGCTGTGGTCATATAATTCCACTTGGGAAATATACTCCCAAGGGAAAAACCAAAAACAAAATGTACAAAGATATTTCTACTAGTGCCATTTATAGAAGAGAGAAAAATATAGACAAACCCAAATGATAAAAATAAGAATAACTATGAAGACTTTCATTTATTAACAAGATAGAAAACTACAAATTTTTCAAATGACAATTATGTAGATTATGATCAATATATAACGAGCATGTGGGAGATAGAATAAACAGAAAAAACAAAATGAAAAAGCAAATAGGTACACACTAATTTTATGTAAATAAAAAACGAAATGTAATCATTCAAAAAGATCAGAAGAGAACATACAGAGGTGCAAAGATTTGGGTTTGAAGCTCACATATTTAAAATCTACAATTTTAAAGAGAAAGATGAAATTGGGTTAGTGAAGTAGATGAAGAGGATGTAACACGTTTGATAGTGTTTTCATCATATGTTAGATGAGGGGACAATAAGACAGAATATGCATGGTGGTGTGTAGGAGGGTTGGAAGGAACATGGCTCTTACTAATACATATAAAAGTTCACAGTCACTGTTATTTATACAGACTAGGCACGAGCTTGGCTGGTGGCTTGAATCTTAAGGCATATTTGCAGAATGGCTCAAAAGCTGGAAGGCAACCCCATGCCGAATCTCATCCAGGAAATGGGCGGTGTATTGATTCAGGCTCAACTTTGTAACGCTGCACCTTGGTCAGGCTGAAGAAAGGCTTGATCCTTGCTGTGATATTTCAGACAGTGAATTACTTAGCTTTTGTCAAGCATGAGATCACTGCGCTGATGCATCCCTGGGAATGCCAACTCTATGAACACCATGTCCACTTTTCTAGTCAAGACAAACCAACCCATACTAAATCTTGAATGTCAATGTCTTTGTGATATGGCATACCATAACATAGTATATGGGGGTATTAGGTTTCAGAATTCTCCAACCATTGATAATAGATATAAGACAGTAAAGCCCATCACTGTCTTTTCACTGTCTCAAATAAATTAGCATTACCATCTCAACTGATCAGTTGGGCAGGGGTAACTAATTATAAACAAAGAAGAAGAAAGGGTTTGGAGAAGAAAGAAATAAATAAAAGATGCATTTTATAATTTAACCATTAATTAATCTTTTAAAACAAATAAGTATTACTAGTAAATATTTGATCATTTTCCCAGGAGAAAACTTAAACATGGAAATCTGTTCTCAAGAATGTTTTCATTAAAACATGATAATTAAAAAAAACCATGATAATCAACTCAATTTCTCTTTTGGAGCAATGCAAGGCAGGTATATATTCTATCTATACATCATCTTCATTCAACATCAACACAATCTCATGAAGGAGAACCTAGTACTATTCCTATATTAAAGGAGAGGAAACGGGAACTTAGAAAAGGTTAGGACCCAATGTCACAGTTATCAGTGAGAAATCCAGATTTTGAACCTTGCTCTCTGACTTAAAGCACATAATTGTTTCTCTCTCCTGCTTTTCATTAATGCACAAATCGTCTCTGTAAAAAGTGCTGATGGCACAGGCCTGAGGGAACAGTGAATTCTGACACTGTTAGGTGAATTCCAAAGAGAGGTCTCAGAAAACGATAGAGAAGTGGTGGCATTTGCATTGTGCCCTGGATAAGTTGCAGTGTGTTGGTAAGACCAAAGGAAAGGGTGGTTTAAGTAGAGGAAGTGGCCTGGGCAAAGGCCCAGGAACCTAGAGTTTGACTGGGAAGTGGTGATATGCAGAAAGTGAGCAGGTTTGGAACAACAGATTTTATTACAGAAAAAAATTGTTGAACAACCAAAATCTAGTCTGTGTGATACATAACTCCTAGTACCCTGTAACACCAACCAAGATCTCACTTCCATGTGGAATCTAGAGAAACAAAACAAATGAACAAACAAAACAGAAGAATACAATAGATATAAAGAACAAGCTGATTGTTGCCAAAGGAGGGGGGTGGGGTATGGGTGAAAAGGAAAAACAAAAAATTAAATTCAAAGAAGTTAATTAGTTAATTAATTTTTAAAAGTCTAGTTAGATTTCCTCTTTCACCAGGGACCCACCAAGATGGTCCACGTTCGCACCAAGACCATGAAGAAGGCGTCCCAGGTATTCACTGAGACACACTACATGCACCTGAGCTACAACTTCCACACCAACAAGTGTGTGTGCGAGGAGATCATGGTTATTCCCAGCAAGAAGCTCCGCAACAAGATAGCGGGCTATGTCACACGTCTGATGACACAGATTCAGAGAGGCCCTGTGAGAGGTGTCTCCATCAAGCTGCAGGAAGAGGAGAGGGAAAGGAGAGGGAATTATGTTCCTGACGTCTCAGTCCTGGATCAGGAGATCACTGCTGTTGGTCCCGACACTAAGGAAATGCTGAAGCTCTTGGACTTGGCCGTCTGTCCACCCTGCAGTCACTCAGTTGGGATGAATTTCCAAACACCATGTGGAGCCATTTTAATCTTTCCACTGTGCTGTAATATTTTCAATAAACCATGGACAACCTTAAAAAAAAAAAGAGGGCCAGCCGAGTGACTCAGTTGGTTAAGAGCTCGCTCAAGAGTGCCAGCTCTGAGCAACAGGGTTGCCGGTTCGATTCACAGCCTGAGCTGAGCTGCCAACAGGTGGCAGGATGGCTCAGCTAAAAAAAAAAAAGAAGAAAAAAGTCTAGTTAACTTCCATTATCATATATAGGAAAAAATTGCTACTTCATATTTTTGTTAAAACTATTTTTTAAAGTATAGTACAAACAATTATGTACAGTACATAATACTTAATATGATAAATTATTATGTTACTAGTTTATATATTTTCTATTATACATTATACTCTTTATCATTATTTTAGAGTGTGCTCTTTCTACTTAAAAGAAAACAAAGTTTGCGCTAAAACAGTATTCCATGTTACACCTAACGATGCATTTCTCAGAATGTTAAGTGGCACATGATTGTATGGGCTAGGCTCTGTACCCAAGCAATGGAAAGAATCAATCAAACAACTACAACAAAAGAAAAGACATGAGCTTGTCCTCATGATGCTTAAAAAATTAAAGGGAAAAGGATCAAATATCTCTCTATTTTCTATTTGAAATAGCACATTAACCTACCATAGCCTTTTTAAACTTCTCACTTCAGTCGATATCTACTTTCTCCTCTTATCTACAAAATGTGGTCAGAATGTAAATAATCTACATGTCTTTAGCAACAAAGCTACTCAACTAAACAACAAACATGGGAAGGGGGTAGTTCATGATCAAATAAACTTGGAAAGTGAGTCAAGTCATTCTCCATTTTAGACATTTACATTCACATTCACTTATTAAAGGATCTGGTAAAGAGTTTTGTACCTTTGGCTAATCCAGAGTTTCCAAAATTATCTGACCATTATTTTCATAGATTTCTAACACTAACTTTAGGAAATATAGTTCTCAAAGTGTGAGCAAGCTATAAACATCCTACACTGGAATCACCTGGGGGTACATTATCAAAATCTTACAAAGAAACTTTCAGGGGTTTAACATTTTAGATCATTAATGCTTTACAGGCAATAGTGAGTCAATGGCCAGCAAGACTGATAGCTGGTAAGAAGAAATGGGCAGAATTGAGTGTGGACAGCACTCTAGGAAGCTTTGGGCTGGTGACAGTAGGACTGAATTAGAAGTCAGGTACCTAAATTCTGGTCCTGGCTTCCCCTTGGACTCATGTATGATCTTGGGGAAGCCACTCCCTTCCTAGGGCCATGTGTGAGTTTCAACGTTTTGGATTAGCCTGGATGGTATTTCCCCTCTGGGACACTGTGGAAATGTGTGAGGGCATTTTTGTTTGTCAATGACTGGGAGTCACTACCAACGTGGAGTATGTAGGAACTATGGATGCTAGAGGTTTGCAGTGTGCAAGGTAGTTCCTCACCTTTGAGAATTGCCCTGACTGTTGCACTACTTCCTGATGTTCCTCTGGACATTCATGTAGGAGGTAAAAATCTGCTACCCATTATCCTAACCTAGAACTGAATCTTGAACAGCACATAAATAGTATAATATGCATTGAAATTCCTGGGAACGAAACTACATTGTTAATCAAGAGTAGATTGTACTTCATATACTTAGAACTCTACCAAGAACTTTACTACAATTTTGGAAAATCACATCACCCATGTTAACAGTACACATAGGTTTTAATTAAATTGCCAATGCTACATGCCTGTATCAGTCTTCACTTGTAGCTGTCACATTCCTGCCGACTCTGTATACGGATTCAAGCATCTGATTACTTAATTATGTCATCCAGAGCAAGGAGACTTGAAATGCCTGTGTGCTATGAGGTAAGGAGATTGTGCCAGAATATATATCAACACCTTACTTCCTTCATCAAAAAAGGGTTGCTGTGAAAAAAAAGAAATGTCAACTAAACTAAATAGTGTGCTTAGTGATATAGCTGATTTTCATTTCAGATATAAGCTCTTTATGTCATTGCACATCAATAATAGTTTGTGTTTATGGCATATGACCTTTTTATAGTCATGTATGTAAGTGGCTTTATTATCAATGTATTTCATTTCGGTAAAAGAAAGGGGACATAAATATTGGTCATAAAAAAAGAAAATTGAGGGGCCGGCCAAGTGGCTCAGTTGGTTAAGAGTTCACTCAAGAGTGCGAGCTCTGAGCAACAGCGGTTCGACGCCGGGCCCGAGATGAGCTGCTGCTGAGCTGCCAACAGGTGGCAAGATGGCTCAGCTAAAAAAAAAAAAAAAATTGATTACAATGTATTTGATGATCTTTGGGTCAAATGATGATCTTTGGGTCAAGGGCAACATTGGGTGGTGGGCTTCAGTTTGCCCATAGTATCATCAGCTGCCTCACCCAGTTTTCTGACAAGACAATTTAAGATTCCTCAAGTTGGTACCCCTCTTTCAACCGCAGCACAGCCCCTAAGCTCCACCTATGTAGAAAGTCTGAAACCCTGCTAGTGTTCTCTGAGGTCTTTTTCAGACTTTTTTAAAGCTTGTTTCTGTATCTTTCAAGTTTTGCAACTCTGCGCCTTGACCCATCTGTATGACTGCCCAAGTCACAGAAAGAATTGATGCTGCTCTATGAAAGGAGCAATTCAATGAATGCCTCCTCCCTGCAAAACAAGGACAGTTCCCTCCTTCACTGGGCTGTCCGCTGAATGTGTACTAGATAACTGAGGAGAGTAAAATTTCTTTGCTCCACACAGTTGATGCAATTCAGTCCAGCAGGGGTTAAAGCTGGTTTCTTGTCTCCGCTGGGGAGCCAGGCGGATGGGGCTCCTCCTGTAATGGGCACAGATGCCACCATGCTTTGTTGATTACAATCTCCCACACCAAGGAAGCTTTGACTAGGTTTGACATAATCAGCTCACAGCCTCTGCCTGCACTCTTTCACAAACAGGCCATTTTCACATCTTTTTCATGGAATCCGACAGGCGGAAAAATAATTAATGTTACCTCAGCTCAACAATGACCCTGGCTCTGATTCAAAAAGAAGGCAGGTTGCAAAATCTGCCCTTTAATTGAGGGTTGGGGGCAAACCCCACATACTCCTGTATCGGTTCTGCCTGCCTGGCCAAGGCTGATTAAGGCTTTCCTAAGCTTGAGGACCCATGGTCACTGAGTACCACTAAGTTTCAGGTTCAAAGAGCTTCTGTGAAAGAATTCTGTTCATGGCATTTAGCAAGGCCAGACCTGTTGTGTCTGTCAGAGAATTCCAGATGGTACTGTTGGTCATTCCCATTTTATTGATAAAGACAGGGTGACTTTCTCTTTGCAGAAGACACAAAATTAGAATCCACAACTATTTTTCAATATGTTTCTTTTTTTTTTTTTTAAGAAAATGCAAATGTATTTTATTATGGAAGTCTATCTACATGGTCATTTGCACACTTGTTGTGAATGGTACAGCCACTTTGAAAAATAATCTGGCAGTTTCTCAAATGGTTAAACATAGTTACCTTTTGACCTAGCAATACCACTCCTAGGAATTCTTCCAAGAGAATTGAAAACATATGTCCACACAAAAACTTGTACACAAACATTCATAGAAGCGTTATGCACAATAGCAAGAAAGTAGAAAACAACCCAAATGTCTCTCAGTTGACAAATGGATAAACAAAAGTGGTTTATCCATACAATGGAATATTATTTGCTCATAAACAGGAATGAAGTATGTACACCATATCATGGATGAATCTTGAAAACATTATACTAAAAAATACTAAAATGTTAGTCACACACAAAAGACCACTTATATGATTTCATTTATATGAACTGTCTAGAATGGTCAAATATAAAGAAATAGAAAGTAAGTAATTGCTCAGGGCTGGAGAGAATGAAGAGCTGAGAGGTGTATAGTCTAGGAGTGCAGAGTTTCTTCTTGAGATGGTGAAATTTTCTAAACTTGATTGTAATGTTGGTTGCACAACTCTGTAAATACACTAAAAATCATTGAATTTTACACTTTTTATTTTAAAGTGTGTAGTACACTAAAAGTTCTACAGAAAAATGGTTGTCAATTGTGGGTCAAGGAACCTAGAGATTCCCAAGATATTTTTGGGGTGTCTGTGAGTCCTTACCTTTCCAACTACGTATCCATGTGAGGCTGATTTTTTTTAATATAGTTTAGTAAAACAATATCATGCAGCAAACTGAACAGAAAAACAGATGTGAAAATTGAGCCATTTTTTATCAAGCCATAAAAAAGATTTTCAAAAATGTAAAAAGAAAAAAAGTCTATACCTTCACCCTTGAAAATTTGGGAAATGAAAAAGTAGAAGAAAGACAGTAACTATTTTCCATGTTCTGACCAACCACAGAACCACTGCTACATTTTGGCACATTTCCATCTGGTCTTTTTTCTGACTCCGTGAGTTCTACGCCTTGTGAAGTGGTGAAGCTCTGGCAAGAGGCCCAGCTCTGTTGAGCAAGCACCTTCCCTCTTTCCTTGATTCTCTTCAAAGTAATATGGTCAGTACCCACCTTGCTTGGAAAGGAGGGGAGAGGATCCCAATTATACCTGCCTCAAGGTCATGTTTATTTACTAATTACAAAAGTAGCACAAGGTCATTATAAAAAAATTTTGTGTGCATTTACACATGTGTACAGGCCTGTGTATCATGAATACATGAGGCAGAAAACAGATGATCTTGGACACTGGACCAAGGTGGCACATGAGAACACACATGTTAACTCTTCAACCCCATATTTCTTAAAATGACAGAAAAATCAGCAAATGACAGCAGATGCCACCAGCAGGCCAGAAATTATGAAGAATTTCCAGGAGAAAAACGCAGAGAGGAAATACATGAGAGGAGAAACTGCAAATGCGCTCAGGCACAAAATCAGGTGAGGAAAAACAAATTCAAAGAAAACCAAACTCTAAGTAAAATAATAAAGATTTACAATATCGTATCTGCAATTCCAAAATCCAAAACATTCTCAACACAAAAGTTTCTTTCTAAGTTCTGCACAAACTCATTTGCAACAAAACCTGACCTGAACTGAAGTGAAGCCATTTTTAGACTTTATGTCACTTAAGGTGAATATTCATTTCTGTCTTTGTAAATAATAATAATAATAATAATAATGATGATGATGATGATGATGATGTTTCTGATTACAGAGTGCTGCACAGATTTTGCTGAGAGTGTTTGCTAGAGCTGTAGTGCTGGAACAGTTCTGTATCCTGGTTCTGTTGATGGCTCCTATAATCTACACATGATAAAATATCATAGAACTATTAACACACACACGAGTAGTTACAAAACTAGTGAAATCTAAATAAGGTCTGTACCTGAGTTTATTTTATTACACCAATTGTAACTTTCTGGCTTTGGCAATGAACTATGCTTAAGTAAGATATTATCATGGATGGAAGGTACAAGTACACTGGAATTCTCTACACTATTTTTATATGTTCTTCTGAGTCTTAAACTATTTAAAAATTTTTTTAAGTTATTAAAGCAAAAGCAATAGAATGACCATTGCAAAAATTTAGAAAGTGGTTACCTAAGGAGAAATGAAGGAGAATGGAATAGAAAAGAAATATAAAAATAGATGTAAGTTATTAGTTATATTGTTCTGGGTTTGGTGGTGTGTTCACGGCTGTTCATTCCAGTACTTTCTATAGATATAGACATGGATATAGATATTGACAGAGACAGAGACAGAAATGTGGACATAGGTGGAAATGGAGATGGAGCTGTAGACCTAGATGTAGATGTAGACATCGACGAGGATGTAGATATAGATAGAGACAGAGATCTCACACATAAACACTCCTGTACATCAAAACAATATTTTAGTAGTTAATGAAGAAAAAACATTTTAATAGAAAGTTTTAAAACAGAATGTGTGATAGAATGTGTGATAAAACAGAATGTCAGATGTAAAGAAAAAAGTGCTCTATTTATGTATGCATATATATGTGTACAAATGCACAGAAATAGTAGAGAGAATACAACTCCAGAGATTAACAGTCAAAAAGCGCTGGTGAAAGTATTGGGATTGTGTGTTGACAAGGGAAGGGAATAATGGAGAAGAGTGAATTGGGATTTTTTTCCCTTTTACTATCAATATTTTATATTTACATTTTTTTTCAAAAGAATGTATTTGTATAAATTAGGCACCACTGCCATCATATGTGCTTTCTGAAATAGATACTTATTTTGTATCTATCTTCCTGCCCACAACGCTTCTACTAAAACCATCACCTGTAGACATAAGAGTACCTTATTCACCTTTATGCATACAGCATTGCTCCTGACCAAGGAACTTATTTTATAGCAAATGAGGACAACAGTAGGCTCATGATCATAGAATTCACATGTTCTCTCTAGCTTTCTAAAGCAGAGGCTTCTCAGAAGTTGATGGTCTTTTGAGGACTCAGTTGTGTCATCAGCTGAGTGACAACACCTGTCAGGGCTAGAGCAATGTATGCTCTAATCAGTGACACATGCTGTTGTTCCCCCCACGGCCAGGATTTCACAGTCCAGGGATCAAGGAGAGGACATGGGAGTGGCTCCTCTGTGTCCCTGGATCCGCAGCCAGCATTTTGCTTCCCACCTCCACAACTTTGGGCCCTGCTGGTCAAGAGGTCTGAGTCCCCAAGGGGGACTAAGCAGGGGACAGGTGGGACACAGCAGGGGTCCACTGAAGTGGAGGTTGGGACTGCCACCTGACCACCTTGGCTCCACACTCCAGTGAACCAACAAGCAAAGGGGTCACTGTACTGTTGGGGGTGATTGATCCTGACTCTCAAGAGAAAATCAGGCTGCCACCACACAATGGAGGTCAAGAGTAATATGTCTGGAATGCAGGGGCTTCCCTGGGGTGTCTTAGGACTTCCATATGCTGTGATAAAATTCAATGGAAAACTACAACAGCCCAATTCAACCAAATCTGCTAACGGCCCAGGCCCTTCAGGAAGAAAGATTCAGGTCACCCCACCAGGCAAGGAACCTGGACCAGCTAAGGTGCTTGCTGAGGGCAGCTGGAATATGGAACGGGCAGTGGATAACCTGGCACACACCTGGCATAGGATTAAGAGAAGCTGGGGGAGATCTGGAGGGAGTTGACCCAGCTGTGGGCCCTGGTGCTGCCATGTTCTTATGGACAAACCAAACATTGAAATTCACTGGAACAGTGGTTCTGAAATTCTGGCATGCATTCGAAAATCACTGGGAGAAGCTTTATAAAAAATACTAGGTCTAGAGGCCTCCCCTAGACCTCCTGCTCAAAACCTTCCAGGTAAGGTCAGGATATCTTGTATTAAGTGCTCAGATGATTCTACACATATTAACAGCCAAAACCACTGTGTTGGAAGGCGGGTACTTCGGGAACCATTCATTCAGGGCCACATCATTCCCCAGCGGTTCAATATAATTATTCATTATATATGCCAAATGAATGGTGCCCCTGGAAGCACAATTCCATAGATGATAACATTTACAGTAGTCCCCATGGGGGACATGTTCCTAGAACCCCCCCAGTGGAGGCCTGAAGGCTCAGGTAGTACTGAATCCCATCCATACTATGTTTTTTTCTATACATACATACCTATGATAAAGCTTAATTTATAAATGAGGCACAGTAAAAGATTAACAATACTAATAATAAAATAGAACAATTATAATAATACCCTATTATAAAAATTATGTAGATAGAAGATTCGTTCTCTCTAACCTCAGCATATTTTTTTTCTTATTAAGTAGAGGTTAACCTTTTCACAGCTCGTCTTTGGCATCCAAATTGCCAGCATTGCTACTCTTGCACTTTGGGGCTATTATTAACTAAAATAAGGGTCACTTGAACACAAGCACTGCAATACCAACTCAGCTGATCTGATAACCGATACACCTACCAAGTGACTATGGCTGCTAAGAGACTAACTGGGTGGGGAGCAGAAACAGTGTGCAGACACTGGACAAAGGGATGATTTATTTCCTGGGAGGGACAGAGCAGGAAGGCACGGGATTCCATCATGCTGTACAGTTCGGCATGCCGTTTAAAACTTATGAATTGTTTATTTCTGGAATTGTCCAGCTGATATTTTTGGAACTCAGTTAACTGTGGGTAATTGAACTCAGTTAACTATGGGAAAGCAGAACTGCTGAACACAATAAGTGGGGGACTACTGTATGGTGCCCTAAAGCTTTGGAACTCATGAATTCCCCAAGTCAGTCTTCGTGAATTTTCATCAATTTGTAAAACAGAAAAAAATTTAAAAATTACACAGAAATAGTTCCCATTAGTAAAGATATTTTATCCTGCTTATGATATTAAAGCTTTAAATGCCCATTAAACTATCTCCCTACCTTGGCAGGCTTGCTTATCTCTAGAGAGACTTGCTGAGAGGATAAGAGTTCCCGGCTATAGATGTGCAGATTGAGATGTGATTAAGAGGGACCTTTACGAAAAGCTATTCTGTTTGTGCTCAATGGCTAGCTCCAAGAGCCTTGACGTCATGTGCTGTATCCTTCAAGGCTAAGAAGGGTGAAACTTATCCCTGGAGGCAGGAGGCTGGGTCTCTCCTGAAAGGCAAAACCATTTCTGGCAACAGGAGGGTCCTTTCATGCAAATATATCAATACTCCAAAGTCTGCGAGCTTGTTTGGTTCGAATCTTTCTTCCAATAGTGGTAGTAAATTTGTGATTATTTATCATCTCCTTTGCAGGCCTTTTAAAGAGACAAGTTGTTTGTTAGTGCTGCTTTCCCAAGGGACCAATTTTCACCTGCCCAAGACCCTCCCTCCACCTTGTCTTCCCATCTCCAGAAAGCTTCCCCCATCTAATCGAAACTGACTACACTCTTAAAATTCCCCACGGCCAGATTCTCTACCCTTCATCCAAGGTGACTGGCCCTTGGCTGAGCGTTCAACCCCATGTATGAGTATGTGGTAGTAGATGGTAAATTAATAACAATTAATGTACAAAGTACAATGCTTCCTATGACATTAATGCTAATCCTCACAGCGCCTCTGTGAGGTGGGTTGTATTATCTCCATTTCAAAGGTGAGAAACCTAAAACTAAGGGACCACACAATTTGAAAGCAGAAGAAACATGATTAGAATCAAGGACTGTTTGCTTCCAAACCAACTCCTGTGTGAGTATCCCCAGTGACATGTTTATTCCTTGCTGCAAACTCCCCAACACCTCCACTATATGCTTTATATTAAGTACCTCTGGAAACTATAATCTCAAATCATTGTTTCCAAAATTTAGCTAATGATAAGAATTTACCTGTAGACCCTTTAAAAATGCAGGCTCTGGAATTCCAGCCCAGACCGCTGAATTTGAGTCTTCCTCACAGACGCCAGGGAAGCTGCATTTTATAAAGAATCTGTGAACAACTGTCATAATCCAAGGAGAACCTCATCAGTGGGATTTTGGGTGGGTGAGGTACAGTATTGAGGAGGGGTGAGGTAGTCCTTAGATACCTCAAAATCCCACCCAATACAATTGTCCAGGGAACATTCTGGAAGTAAAGGAAAGAAATGAAAGAACAAAGGTGCAGTTTTCCCTCCCTGAGGCTTGATCTTGGTGAAAGTTTCACAAATGACTAAATACAATAATGATCTTTTCTTTGAGTTATAAAGTCAGACTACTGGCTGCCCAACTTCTAAAGTCTGTGAGCTTGGACAAATTACCTAGCCTCTCTGTGCCTCAACTTTTCCATCTATATATAATACGGGGCACTAATCATAATGACCACCTAAGCATGTTGTCAGAATTAAATAATATAATACTTAAAATAGTTTCAATAGATAGTAAGTATTCCACAAATATTAGTTATTACAGTGTTAGATTATAGTATTAGGCAGTATTAATAATACTAAAGCTCAAGTTTGTATAATGCTTATAGCACAAAAGAACTTTCACCTATCTTTATTTTTTTAAACCTACCAGACATGAGCTTCTAAAATATGTTAGGCATTGTGTCAAGTGCTTTATATATACAGTAAAACCTTGGATTGTGAGTAACTTGGTTTGCGAGTGTTCTGCAAGACGAGCAAACATTTCTAATACATTTTAACTTGGTAAACGACCAATGTCTTGCAATACGAGTAGTTTGTTTCCGGAATGAATTATGCTCGCAAACCAAGGCATTACAGTATTTTAAAAATTGATTTTGGAGTAATTTAAACTCATAGAAAGTTGCAAAATTAGTACAGAAAGGCCCGTGTACACTTCCTCCAAGCTTCCTCCTACGATAACATCTTACATACCTATACATAAAATTTCTTTTTAAGATGAAACTTCCCAGATGAAGAAAGTGAAGCTGACAAGTCAAGCAACTTGCCAAAGGACAGACAAATTCAAGGTCTCCAACTAAAGAAAAGTACTGCCCTTAATTTTGGGGGGTGGGAAGATTAGGGGCCAGAGAAGGAACAATCAGAAAATAGGGAATCCTCTTTTTCAAGAGGGCTGAGCACTCTCACTGACAAAATTCTTTCCCTTTGTTAGAGATGGCTACATATTTTATCACAATTAATTCCTGAAGAAAGCCCTTTGAAGTAGCAGGGTAGATAATGCATTATTCCAACTTTATACAGGAGAAAAGTGATGCTTAAACAATTTGTTTAAGGGTGCACAGCGGACCCAGATACAGTTGCCTTAAAAATGTGCAGAAAAAAATAGTTACAAAAACAAGTACTGAGTCTATCTTTTCATTCTGTACCCTCAGTGCCAACCGGAAATAAGTAAGCAAGTGAACTATCATCTATAAAGGAACAGTTTGTGAAGACAGCAGAAGTGCTGGCGTGCTAACTATGTAGAAACCTTTACCTATTTCCTTCTAAACTCCTCTGAAA